AAACAACCTGAAAGAAAGTAAAGTGGAATCATAGATAATTAACAAAATAAAATGGATGGCACTAAAATTGCAAAGTGACAGCAGCGATTAACAATAAAAACCCTTAAGAACCATTAAAAACCTACCAATTCACTCATTAAAATAGTTGTGAACCAGGAACAGTTTTTGTTTGTGTCTGAAGGAATAAAGGGATTATGCCAACCTAATCTCCAGCGAGACTGAATTCCAGGGTTGGGTGCTATTGTAGAAAAGTCACTCTTTCTGGCCATCTCCCGTTTTACTCCATTACAGGGGAAAATACAGAAGAGGCTTCAGAGGACAACCACTGTGATTGGGTTGGTACATATGGAGGCAGGTGTTCCCTTCCCAACCCATTTGGGACTTTGTAAGCAATCTGAGCTGGACCCAGATGGCAACCGGCAGCTGCACAGGACTGGCATGCCATGCTCACGAGTGCCGGTCCTCCTCGGCAGCTGTGCTGCCTGAGTTGGGACAAGCTGCAAGGCCTGGGCCAGTTCCAAGGGCTGCCCCACTTAGAATGCCTTGCAGGAATCCAGGTGGGAGGTTTCCAGTGCATGGACAGCCATAGTAAGCGGGGACACAGCTGATAGACCAGCCAGTAAAGCAGAGAGATGCTCTGAGTGATGCTTCTAGCCTTACGCTCAGTCGATGGGGCCATTGAGAGTGTGCCTAGTTTAATGTCCAGATGCTTAAATGGACGCCCTTGCATTCCTTTTTATCCCGCTCCATTCTTTCCAATATAAAGAAAATGACTCAAGCTGTCAACTGCATGTCCCATAATATGTGTAATAAAGCAAGAAATATACTCAGCATTGCATATCTTCATATCATTTCAGAAGTTCATTTAACAAGTGGGAATCATGTTACAAATAGGGGAGAGAATTGTGTTACGAATAGGGGAGCCTGGAGAGCTTTGGGTGGTACATTGAGCCTGGGTGGGGATACAGCTTGGATGAGGAGCTGTGCCCAACTAGCAATTTGAACACAGCAGCAGTGCTCAAGGACTCCCAGCCTCTCTTCAGTCCCCTAGCTAGTCCTGTGGATGCTGATACAACTTCTTACTCCCCCCCCCGCCCCCGTTCTCTTCTGCCTTCATTTCCTCGCCCATAAATCGTGGTCAGTACGCTCTTCTCTCTCTTCTCTGAACTGGAGCAAAACTCCGCAGCAACAACAGCCAAAATAATGCATAGGTGATCCCTGGAAGCAAAATGAAAGTCCTTGACAGTCAGGAGGAATAAGTTCAAAATCTATTATTTCCCTTTCCTGACGGTGTAAACAGATGGCCTGACAGCTCCAGAGACTGAATTTCACTCTCCAAAGACAGGTTCAGCAGGAGGAAGACAAGCAAGCATTGCCTGCCTTGAGGCACACCACTTCGCTTTATTCTGAGTTGCTGTTTGGGAATTATATGAGTAGCTGATAAAAAAGGGATTTCCCACTTCCTGTCTGGTTCCTGTCTGGGGTGACAAAGCCTCTGTCCTTAAACTGACATTAAAAAACAAACAGAACAATCCTTTCTGTGGGCGAGCCAAAGATCTCATGGCTGTGGCCTTCCCCAAACGGATGTCTCACTCTTCTGCTTCTTTCTTCTTTCTCTCTGCATCCCTTTGTATTTCTAGAGTGGATATGAAGCTGTCAGAAGAAAAAATGAATGAGCAAGGCTGAGCCTCTGGGCCTTTCTTCACACATGAGGCTCAAAGAGGGCTTTGCTTCAACAGTTTTGTGATGCTGATGCATATACTGGCCAAAGCACTTATCTGCACTCTAAATGCATTCTAAAAGCAAAAATATCAAAATCTCCAGAAATCTCCATATCGTAAGCAGAAAGGCAATTGGAGACTTCTTTCTGTTGCCACCTGGGAGCCACACTTTCGCTTGAAAGCTTAAGCATCAATTTAGTCTGCATCGTTGTAAAAGGTGGGATTGAGCCATCAGTCATTGAGCAATGCTGGGTTCCTTGCTCATTGAAGACCTGACAAAGGCCCAGTTGGGACTTAAGAAGCAGCCACCATTGGTGAATTTCCCTGAGTGGTTTCTCATTATGGTTGTCACCAGCACTGGCAAATAATTGAAGTGCAGAGGAAGTGCATTGAAGCTTCTTCTTATGTGTGAACCTAATTTTTGGACTTTTCTGTCCCTCCACCTTTTCCCATTGTTTCTCTCCACCTAGTCTGATAAGGAATTCTCAGTAACTCAAAAGCATGCGTGCTTTTCTAGTAGTATGGTTGGGCCTGAACTTTGAATTTATTTTGAATTCTTCAGCAAGAAGACATTTCAGACATACAAGTCGAAACATAAGAAATGATTAGAGACACAGAGAGAGTGTTGGCTAGTGGTTAAAATATTGGACTGAACTCAGACAACCAGAGTTCTGGTCCCTATTTGGCCATGAAGTTCCCTGGCTGATTTTGGGCCAGTTACTTGACACTCCATCTAACCTCTCTCCCAGGGTTCCAGTAAGGATAAAGAGGACAGAATGGATACCTTGCAAGTTGCTTTGGGTTCCTTATACAAGGAGAAGAGGCAGGGTGAAAATGCATTAACTAACCTAAGAAGCAGAAATAAACATAGTATGTTACATGTGATGGACCTGGAGAGTTCTGTGTACCCTTACTAGAATGCCAAGAGGCAATTCCCATGCTTTGAGTGTTAGTGAAAGGCAGAGAGCTGTAAAGGGCAATTAAAAATGGTCCTAGTATTGTGCATGTGAGGTTTTCTGGGAAAGGGAAAGGAAATAATCCTTGGTGCCATACCTTTTCATCCAGGAAATAAGCACCTGCTTGGGGATCACCCTGCTGACAAAAGTGCGTATAGTCAAGGCTATGGTTTTCCCAGTTGCAATGTATGGCTGTGATAGTTGGAGCAAAAGGAAGACTGAGCACCAAAGAATTGAGGCCTTTGAATTGTGGTGCTGAGAAGACTCCTGCGAGTCCCTTGGACTGCAAAGAGTCAGTCTTAAAGGAGATCAAACCTGATTGCTCTTTAGAAGGCCAGATACTGAAGATGAAACTCAAATACTTTGGCCACCTAATGAGAAGGAAGGACTCCCTGGAAAGGACCCTGATGCTGGGAATGATTGACAGCAAAAGGGGAAGGGGGCAGCAGAGGATGAGGTGGCTAGATGGAGTCACTGGGGTGGTGGGTGTAGGTTGGGGGGACTCTGATGGATGGTGGAGGACAGGAGAGCCTGGAGAAATGCTGCCCATGGGGTCATGGTGGGTCGGGCACAACTTTGCAACCAAACAACAACAACGAATCAGACCACATGTTTCAATCTCGAGCCGTTCCAGGTAGTGCTAGGAAAGGGTCCTGCCTGAAACTCCACGGAGAGTCGCAACCAGTCAGTGCTGACACAACTGAGCTAGATGGACCAATGGTGTAACTCAGTGTAAGGCAGCTTCCTACATGGTGTCCCTCTCCAAATAACTCTGGCATGTGCCCTTTCAGCTGAGACCCTCTGGGGCGATCATGGCCCACTTTCTGCATGCTCGCATCCTATTTCCAATATTGCAAGAGCAGGTTGATTCTGCCTAAACTGGATGGCCTGCCACTTCGGTCTCCTTTCCCAAGGGCCAGTTTAGAAGCTGCTCCATCACTCTGTCCATTCTGGCTCAGGTGGGGTGTGCCCGTTTTGCACAGCCCCAGCTTGCCCCAAGCATCCACCTGTGCCTAGCAAATCTAAATCCAAATTCAGCATATCTTCATCTCCTCCATGCTTTGAGACCCATCAGCTTCACTGCCATACTGGCCCTGCATGTGGAACTGGTGGCATGTTCAGATGTTCTGGCTTTCCATCTCCTACCTAGCAACCAAATTGTGGCTTCCATGACTATACTTCCCATCCCACTGGATCAAACTTGCACCACAACCTCTGACTCTACCACAGCTCTGGACACACTTTTTGTAAACAAGCCACCCAGATATATAAACTGCTGTTGCACCATATCCCAAAAGATTCTCTTTTGTCAGTCTCTTGTGGTCCCCATGAATGCCTAACTGAGACAGGCGTTGTCCTAGCCCATGGATTTTGAGGGCAAGAATACCCCCATCCTTCATTTAAGCAAAATACACTTGCCCTGGGAACAATCTTGTCCTTCCATTGAAAGGTTTCGTGGATCTCACCATGACATTCCAAAACTACCCTAAGAACCTTACTGACAGACCATGCCCCTTGCAATGGCTCACTCAAAAGAGAGGCTTCAGATAGAGTTCCCTGAAGGCATCTAACCCTCCAACAGTCAATGTTCTTGGCCATCCACTGGATAATCAGGGCTGCCACTGACTGATTTTATCCACCTTGGCAGAGAGCTGTCACCATTCAGGAACTGCACCACTACCCTTTCAGAACAAGTGACCCTATAAGCAGTGCTGCAGCTCGGCTTCTCCTACCCGAGGACAGAGGCAGCTGAAGATGCCACTGCCTTGCTTCAGCAGCTCAAGAGCCGGGCAGCACACCCAGGCCAAAAGCTGTTGCGGCCACCTGTAAGCAACAAGCCACCGTTCTTCCCGTGGCCAGCCAAGTGGTGACAATGCTCCCCAAAATTCGAATGGGGAAACCCACAGAAGGTAGAGCCTGAACCCTCACACACACACCCCAAGGATCTCTTGCATGTTGCACGTAGGATAATGTGTGTGTGCCCCTAACATTCTTTTACAGGGAATTTTTAGCTCTTCTTGGACTTCTGGATTTATATGAGTCCCCATGTTTAATCCACTGAATTATAATAGTAATAACGTTGAGAAGCAAAATCTCGCTTTGCCATGGAATAGAGAACTGCCGTCTTGCCCAGGAGTAAGCTACTGCTCACCACATGACCAGCCTTCTCTGCTAATCCTGGTTGATGGTAGGGAGGGGCCGCTCCGGGAGTCAGCCATGTGGTTAAAATTGGAGGCGCCGTATTCCTCCCCCCTTCCCTTTCCTCCTTTTTTTTCATACATGCAAAATTACTCTGTGCAGCCATAGATGCGTCTTTCAGCTGCACTGCCTCTGCCTTTCCTCTTCCAGATGCTGTCAGGATCTGAATCGGTGGACAGAGTGAAACAGCTCTTCTGGTGTATGCATGGAAACTGGACAGGGGATGAATAGCAGACGGGAAAAAGAGCAAAGTTGGTTATTTTTCTGGCACATGGATGCAATTACATGGAGCACATTCCAGAGGCGTTACTTCGAATTCTGAGCAGGTCTGTTTGCCATTCCTGAGTGGGGAGAAGTGAAAAAGAGGAAGAAAAGTCTCTTGCACAGAGACGGAATGTCTGTACTTTCCATACTGTTTCTAGGTAAGTTGGAAGTTTTTGTTCTGTTGTTTTAAATTTAATTTCTCAAATACTGGAAGTTATGCAGTAGTAAGTGACAAGGGAGCACTCTCGGAAAAAGAAGCTAGTTTGGATGGAAAGACTGGTATCAAAGTTTGTTGGGCATGCAGATCATCTGTTTTTAATTTCTTGCATTTTTAGTATTTTCTTGGCTATCTTAAGCAAACGAATAATTAAAAACCACTTTTCTTTTCCCCTTGGGATTAAAGACGTTTAAGGCAGAGACTCTGTCCTAAAGGTATAAGATTTTAAAGACACACACAAACAATAATCTCTTCAAGAGTTCAATTTTCTCTTTAAAAAAGCTCAAATGTTGCTTGGAGGCTCTGTTTTTCTCTCCTTCCCTCTCTCTTTTACATTCAAAACAAGCAAAGGTATTTTTATGGAACAAATGCTTAGATTAGTTTGCCTTCGACATATGGAAACAAAGAATCTTTGTTCCAAGGTTGGTGGCCAATCTGCTTAACTTTTGCAGGGGGTAGCTTCCCCCCCCCCCAAGGATTTATTTCTGATATTTTAAAGGAGACCATTGTTTCTGATTCATGGCGTAGACAGCCCAAATTAAAAACAGATGTGCCGAAGTACAACGAGGAGAGAGGTACAGGAGAGATTGATAGAAAGAAGGGAATGTGGGGAGAAGAAAAGATGGAGAAATATTAAAAAGGAAAAAGACAACAAAAGAGAGAACATAAGAGAGGAAGGTTTGGAGGGAGCTGAAGACAAAGCTGTTGGTGAGCAACTGGGAGCAGAAAAGGGAAAGGGTGAGACAGTGGAATAAAAGGTTAATTGATCCATTATAAAGACTCAAATCAGCTTTGCCACGGAATCAACAGCGAGCAGAAGGTAATGACGGCTTCCCAGTGAGTGTACCTGTAAGAACCACGTGCTTGCAAATGTGTTGCTGTCGCATTCACGCTTTCCATTTTTAGGTAGCTAACTTACGCATGTCAAGCACAGTCCAAAGCATCCTGAAGAAGCAGATGTTGCAGTGGAGGATAATTAAGCCTTGACGGGCACTGATGGGACTTCAAAGTCCTTAACTTTGGCTGGGCTGTGGACACATGTGTGAACTGACCTCAACAAGGCCAGAAAGGAGTTGAGGGCACATTCAGGGGACCTTTGTCAAAAGTACACTGCAAATACTTATCATGAGACTTATTTATCCGAGGCAACTACTTATGCTACACAAAGAAATAAAGACTGCCAATCTTTTAGCACACATAACAATACACAAGCTTTCTCCTTCTTTTGTCATCCTCAAAATAAATTAGCAGCACTCTGTCCAGCTTAAAAGAAGTTGACCACAAAATGGAGGAGGTAAAAAGATGGAGGAAATTATTAAGAAAGGCAGACTAGAATAAAAGACTAATGTTGCAACCTCCTCCTCCTCTCTGGAGACGTCACAGTGTGGAGAAAGAGCTTCTCCCTCAATTCTAAATACAACATTGGACTGACAAGCAGGCAGCTCTGTGAAAAAGCCCGAACTGAGGCTTCCCAAGGACTGCCAGGCCTCATCTCTCCACCCCAGAAGGCCCAAACTAGACTCCAAGACAGAAACTCCTCATCTTTGTTGGCAAGCTGAAGGAAGATGAAATCAGAAAGTCCCTGTAGGAGGTAGGGTGGATGGAAGAGTCAGGAATGGCGGAATACAATGAGGAATGATGGAGAGTCAGGGTAGTGTAGCAAAGAGGGTGCTAGACTGGGAATCAGGAGACCTGGGTTCTAGTCCCCGCTCAGTCATGAAGCTCACTGGATGACTTTGGGCTGGTCACAGACTCTTAACCTAACTGACTTCACAGGGTTGTTGTTGTGAAGGTAAGAAGGAGTGAAGGACTAGATAAGCCAGCCTAGGTTCTGCATAAGAGGAGGAAAGGTGGGGTTATAATTGTATTGTAATAATAATAAGGTTTTGATAACTGTTGGTTCTAAGCATATGAAATAGATACGGACTGGATCATCAGTACAACTCACTGGGGAGAAGCAAACATGAAAGACAAATTCAAAACATTGTTCGCACAAGTTATGACGTTCATCAGTCTGAATACAGGCTTCTGTTTTCAAGTTTCGGGTCTCTCAGGCAGCTAAGTGATGTTTCAAAAAGCCTGTGGTGGAAAGGCAGGTGGGAGAAGCATGTCCCTTTGGCACCAAGTCCCATGGCACCAAGTCTCAGATCATGGCTTGGGCAGTAGCCGAAGACTTTGCATCTCCAGGCCTTCTGACTAAATCAGAGGAGGGCTCCCCAGTAGCTTTATCTGGCGTGGCACAAGTGCTTTTGCAAGCACCTGCTACAATCTGAAGACAGAGGTGGTGCATAGTTATGGGGTGCCATTGGGACAGATGGATTTGGAGTACCACTGGGACCCTGGAGATATAAGGATATAAACAGGGCCTTCCTCACCCATCCAAATGGCTAATGGAGATACTCAGTACAAAGGCTACTGCTGGCCAGATGCTGGGCTAAAGATATTTGGTCTGAGCCTACAAGTCTCTTCTTGTAAGGATGCTTATCTTGCATCCGGTGTTCCTCTCAAGTCCTTTCTGCATCCTATGACCATTTGCATCAAAGCTGCCATTCTCCTTTCAAATGCACTCAGGCTATTTGTATCAATCATGTTCACACCATGCAACAACACATACTAGATGAATTAAGCAGCCATAAAAGTGTTGCAATCTTGCAAGACAGACAGAGGCCAGTTCACGAAATCTGAAGCTGAGTTTGCAGAGGAGGAACTGAGATGCAGCCCTTGACCACTTGGTACAATTCAGAACCTCATACTCAGCCAACTCTTCATTTTGAAACATATTCCCTGCTTGTTCACCACTCTCCGTATTAATAGCAGTTTCAGGACTTGCGTGGCCGAAAGGGCACCATCCATTATACCAGGGAGCAGCCAGAGGCTGGCAGGAACTCATAGGCTTACAGAGGTAGAAGCACCACAATGACGACGGAGCATGTAATATGGCCACAGCATATCAGACTAGTGTGAGTCACAGCAAGGCGGAAGACCGAGTAGGAGGCGAGATGGCGTACCAAGAAAAGGCGGCCTTCTGTTGTGGCTCCCTCTTTTTGCAACATTAATCCAGCTGTGACGGGAGGAGGGTGGGAATGATGACGAGTTATAGACTCTGTGACTTAAATGTTATTTTGTGGGCAGGACAAATGTGATCAGGGCTCAGTAACAGAAAAATGCAATGCGGTTCCTTTAAATTCACACAAGTACCCCCTGGAGTACTTGTTTTTCCCTGTAAACTCTTACACCTATCAGAGCATAGCCACGCTACTGTGGCATCAATTAGTGCTTGTCTTTCTTCCCATGTATATTTGATGTCACGCTGCTGATTTGCATGACCATGGCGGAAAAGTTCCACTTTTAAGGTACAGTTTTCATGCAAAGTAGCATAATAAAATCAGTTCCAGCACTACGGGCCTGAAGATTCTTCAGCAAAGGGTCTTCACCTGTGCCATTTTCCCCTACCTGAGGAGACGCTGGTTGCAAAATATTCTGTGATGGTGACAGCCGACCTTACGGCCAAAAGGCTCATTCTTTAACAGACATTTCGGCAGCAAGATTCAGTGGGCAGCAAGGTTCTTCTGGCCAGGAGCTGTACCTCCATCCTGAAGGGAAACCCTGAAAGGACTCTCAGGTTGCTGCTTCAGTGATGCTCAGGAGTGCCTGGCACCTTATGGAATCAGTGAGCATTTCAGTGCTGTGAGTTTGGGCAAGGATCAGTCAGGAACAATACAGCATTTAAGCAGCCTCATCCCTGAGCCCAGCTTTCACAAAGCCTCACTGGGCCCCTGGAAGCACGCACGGTGCCAGGACAGGGGCAATTCTGCTCCCGCACACAGGGCAAGGGGGAGAGTCGGAGACAAATGCACCAGAGAGCTAGCAGGGTGCCAATGTCTAGATCAGCCCTACTGAACAGGATTCCTCGGAGCACACCCAAACTCACCCCCTTGGGTCGCTGTCAGGGTCGCCTGACCAAAGGAACTGGTCATTCCTGAGAGCCACAGAATATTTAATGGGACTGGATCAGCTAGTCAATGACCAAATACGGAGGAGCCTTCAAAAAGTTTCCACACTTTTTAAACTCTATTTATTAAGAATTTCAAAACCAAGTTGCATCACTGTTCTACAGAGCCACCTTCCTTTGCAACGCATTTTTCCCAGTGTTGTACTAACTTTTTAATGCCGCCTGCAAAAAAATATATAAAATATATTTATAAAATATAAAAGTGCGGAAACTTTTTGAAGACCCCTCTTGATTGATTGGATGTTATTGGAGGGAGGCAACAGGTTGCCCTCCAACTGTTTCAGGTTCCAGTTCCCACAACCCACCACCAATGGCCATGCTGGCTGGGGCTCATGGGAGCTGTAATCATCTGGAGGGCACCAGGAAGTAAGTTGCACTGCAGTGGGACTTGCTTTAAGGGAAATGTTTTTTTAAGGTCAGACTGCAAGGCAGATTTAGGAGGCTGGAAAAATAACAGGAACTATTTATCACCCTTTAAAAGGAGTCAGACTCTTACAAACACACATTTGTTGGAGAATCCTAGAGTTCATGGAAAAAGTGCATCTCTTATGTTTACAATTTCATTTTGTAAACACTTTATTATGCAATTATTATGTTGTTATTGAAATTATTCATATAACCAGCAATACTAAAGGCTAACTCATGCAACCATCATCATCAATTTAATTGACTTCTAAACTAAATTTTGCAAAGCAGTGTGTAAAGCTGACAGAAGCCAACATTTTCCTCTGATTCCGCTATGTTTTCTCAGTCTTAAGGAACTCTCTGACCCTTATCTAGATGCAAGCACAGAGCTATCCAGAGCTTTACTATCTGAACGCATTTATTTACTTGATAGCCTACCTCTCAATTCACCAGAATTCCCAGAGTGGCTTACACATTAAAACATACCTATATACAATTGAAAGCCATGTATCAGAATAAAAATA